GGTCACCCACGACGAACTTATAGAAGGAGTTTTCTTTGCGGATGATTTCCTCCAAATACTCATAAAAAGCATCAAGTTCCAAATTATCAGCTGCTGATGTTGGAGAATATGATGATAGTAATGGCTTTTTATGCAGAAGACAGAGTCAAAGGATAGACAGGCGAGATGAGGTTTCATGCGAATCGACAAGATGAACACGGGTGTTCGACAAATCCAACGCCTCGCTCCGTGATGGAACCTTTTCACCACGAATGATGAGTGTGCCATCACTCAGCTGCCTCACGTCCGTCCTCCTGGACTTTGTTTCCTGCAAGGCGATTATGTAGTAGTTGATGCGCCCTGCAGCTTCGAGAAGGGTGAAAATCGGGCGGTGGAGACTGTCTTGCACTTGTAGGTGCAGAGCATGAGACAATCTCCATGGCAAGCCGTTGACGTATCCTTTTGGTCCAAAATCCATGGCGTCCTATGCAACCTGACACTGGTCTTGATAAAGTCCGACGTAGTAGATGTGATCCAGTGTGCAGAGCTTCTCCTTCTCTTACATGCTGTACGGGCAATAGAGCTTTTCTCTAAACATTAGCAGTCTTGCCAGGGCCTGCCAAGCCTTTACCACAGGCAATCGCTGACCTTACATGGATCTGGGAAGCACCTAGCGACTTAATCAGCCAGACGATGAGGCTTTTGACATGGCCTACTCTTAGATGGGCATCCGGAGAACCGGAAACGTCAAACTCCTTCTCAGCTTAGGAGATTTTGCTGGAGGATAAACCTCCGCTATACTTCGCTCAGTTCGACACCCAGAATCACCTCGCGCCACGATGAGGCGGTAGACCGTCACATGCAGATAACACGAGATATCTTTATTTTGGCACTATCGTAAAGTGATTTGTACGGGGAAAAGAAGCTCAAAAATAAAATGCATTGCCTTCAAATTTTAATCGCTTTATTGTTGCTTCCTGCATGATACAAAGATGAAAGTTAACGCAAAACAAAATTTTCTCCTTTCAAAACATTACTACTGTTGATCGTCACTTCGTTCATTGTAGTAAGCATACCTTCGGCAAACTCGCATAAGCTGCGTCATGCAGTACGATTCTTTCTTTACAAGTTTGATCTATTTGAATTCATAATGGACAGAACAAGCTGAAGATCAGAATCTCCAGGGAAAGGTGTAAGCTATGGGGAAAACTATGAGGCGAAGCGTAGACGTTTCATTTAGCTTTTATAACAATCACTTCTCGTCTGTTTAATTCGTTGGAAAGGTGGTTTCGGGTCAACTCATAGCTATCACTTTCTATTCAGAATTCTTTGAAGCGACCACCAACCTTCTTAAAATTGCAGTGAAACCAAATCAACTTT